TCGACACGCTCGTGCTGGTGGACCACCGTATTAGCAACAATGAAGTCAATGCACTAGAAGACACTGATAGTGATGGTGACCTAGACAACTGGATCTTCCTAACTACTGACGGTGGACTCAGCAACTGGAAGGCCAAAGACTTCATCTCAATCTCCTTCAACCAGGAGTAATTTCTATTTCCTGTTTTTATTATTTTAAGAAATGTGTCTGTATAATTTCCTTCAAAACAATGACTTTAAACCATGTGCCTTACCTGGGGCACAATGGTCCATTTGTTAAGGGTGTGTCATTTCATATATCATATTCTCATTTAATGAAAATATTGGACGATTTTGCATTCAAATTTTGCGCTCCTTGTCTTTCTTTTACTTTACTTCATTTTCAAATAGCCATGTGACCTTACATGCACACACACACATTTATAGATCCACATCCACTCTGGGTTTCATTGACAACAATTCTTCTATTGCCATTTATGACTTCGAGAATCCAATATATCAAGCCGAAGACGAAGATGAAGAAGATTGTGAGATACCTGGATAACTCGCCAAACTCCATCCAACCGCACGAAGAACCGGTTGAAGTGATAAACTTGGGTACTGAGACAAATAAGAAAGAAGTCAAGATCTGCGCCAAATTGGAAGACAATGTCAAGATAAGATTAGTTCAGATGTTTCATGACTATGTTGAAGTATTCGCTCAGTCATACGAAGGCATGCCAGGGATCGATACTGATATCTTGGTTCATCGTCTACCAATGAAATAGGGTTGTTCTCGGGTCAAACTAAAGGTTCGTCGCATGCGTCCTGACATGTCTGAAAAGATCAAGGCTAAGGTAATGAAACAGTTAAATGCAGGTTTCTTGGTAGTAACGTCGTATCCCCAATGGGTTGCAAATGTTGTTCCAGTGCCCAAGAAAGACGGTAAGGTCCGTACGTGTGTAGACTACAAAGATCTGAATAGGGCAAGCCCCAAAGAAGACTTCCCACTATTGTATATTGATGTCTTAGTTGACAACATTGTTCAAAACAAGGTGTTTTCGTTCATGGATGGCTTCTCGGGTTACAACCAAATCAAAATGGCGCCCGAAGACATGGAGAAGACTACTTTTTTCACACAGTGGGGAACCTTTTGTTATAAGGTAATACCTTTTGGGCTGAAAAATGCAGGCGCAATCAACGGGCTATGGTGGATTTATTTCATGATATGATTCATCATGAGATAGAAGTTTATGTTGATGACATGATATCAAGATCCCAAAATGAGAAAGAGCACCATGATCATCTACACAAGCTGTTTGAGAGGTTAAAGAAATACAAGCTGAGGTTGAATCCCAACAAATGCATCTTTGGGGTAAGGTCTGGTAAGCTCCTAGGCTTTGTTGTTAGTGGAAAATGTATTGAAGTTGACCCCGCAAAGGTTAAAGACATCCAAGAAATGCCAGTTCCTCGTACTAAGAAGGAGGTTAGAGGTTTTCTAGGACGACTCAATTACATTGCCCGATTTATCTCTCACCTGACTACTACTTGTGAACCACTATTCAAGCTACTGAAGAAAGACCAAGCGGTAAAATGGAATGACGACTGCCAAATAGCTTTTGACAAAATCAAGGAATACTTGTAAGAACCTCCAATTCTGATGACACCAGTTGAAGGAAGACCTCTGATCATGTACTTAACCGTGTTAGAGAATTCAATGGGGTGTGTGATGGGGCAGCATGACGAGTCTGGTCAAAAAGAGCATGCAATATACTACCTTAGTAAAAAATTTATCGACTGTGAAACAAGATATTCACTACTCGAGAAAACTTGTTACGCTTTGGCATGGGTTTCTCGCCGACTAAGACAATATATGTTTATTCATACCACTCTACTGATCTCTACAATGGATCCCATCAAGTACATATTTGAGAAGCCAACTCTCTCCGAAAGGATAGCCCGATGGCAAATGATCTTAACTGGGTACGATATCTAGTACACTACACAAAAAAGCAATCAAAGGAAGTGTATTGGCGGATCATTTGGAAAATCAAGCTGTGGATGATTACCAATCTATGAACTTTGAATTCCCGGACGAGAATATCATGCTGATTGCGGATTGTGAAAAGCCTGGACCGTATGAAGGACCTGAACAAGGATCCTGATGGATTATGGTTTTTTATGGAGCTTCCAACACACTGGGTAACATAATTGGTGTTGTAATCGTTTCTACTGAAGGTTTCCATACTCCTTTCACTGCCAAACTCTGTTTTGATTGTACCAACAATATGGCCAAATACGAAGCATGCATCTTGGGTCTCAAGGCTGCTATTGACCAAAGAATCAAATTCTTAAGTGTATATGGAGAATCAACTTTGGTCATCTTTCAAGTTAATGGAGAGTGGGATACGAAACATCCAAATCTTATCCCATACAAAGAACTTGTGCTAGCCCCTATTCCATACTTTGAAGAGGTTACTTTTGAACACATTCAGAGGGAAGAGAATCAGTTGGAAGATGCTTTAACGAACCAACACACTGCTATGAGATTAACACTGATGGTGTAGAGGAGAAGCCTTGATTTCATGAGGTGAAAATATATCTCAAAGCTCAAGAATATCCTGAAGGGGCGTCAGTCAACGACAAGAAATTCATGCAGAGGTTATCAGCCATGTTCTTCCTGAGCAATGGGATCTTGTACAAGCAAAACCACGGTTCGATTTTGCTCCGTTGTATGGACAAGAAGGAAGCAAAAAATATCATGGAGGATATACATGAAGGTATCTTTGGTACTCAGTCTAGTGGACATACTATGGCCAACAAGATTCTGAGAGCTAGTTACTATTGGTCGACCATGGAAACTGAATGTCATCACCACTCGAGGACTTGCCACAAGTGCGAAATTTATGCTGACAAAGTTCACGTGCCTCCGTTTCCTTTGAATTTCATGACTTATCCTTGGACATTTGCAATGTGGGGAATCAACATGATCGGAGAAATCAAAGCTACTACCTCTAATGGACATTGTTTCATTCTTATCGCCATTGACTAATTTACCAAGTGGGCAGAAGCAGCTTCATTTTCCTTAGTTACCAAGAACGTCGCAGCCCGGTTCATCAAGCACAACCTCATCTACCGGTATGGTATCGTTGAAAGGATTATCACTGACAACGACACCAACCTTAACAATGTCATGATCACTGAGCTCTGCTTACAGTTCAAGATCAAGCATCACAACTCTTCTCCAAACAAACCTAAGATAAATGGCGCAATGGAAGATGCTAACAAGAATATAAAGAATATTATGCAAAATATGGTGGTGATCTATAAATAATGGCATGAGATCTACCATTTGCTCTTCGTGGCTACCGTACTTCGGCACGAACATTAACTGGGGAAAACCCTTTCTCTTTAGTTTATAGCATGTAAGTTGTCCTGCCTGTTGAAGTTCAAATCCTTTCTTTAAGGATTATAAGAGAAGAAAACTTAGATGAAGACGAATAGATTAGGACTAGGTTGGATCAGTTGAACTTGATTGACGAGAAGAGGATGGCGGTTGTCTGTCATGATCAGATGTACCAGAAGCGCATGATCAAAGCTTTCAACAAAAAGATCAAGCATCAGATATATTAGGCTGGTGACTTGGTAATAAAGCGTATCATTCTACCACAAGACGATCCCATGGGAAAATGGACTCCCGCTTATGAAGGGCCATTTGTTGTTAAAAAAGTATTCTCGGGCGGTGCTATGATGCTAACCACTATGGATGGCGAAGATTTCCCGCATCCTGTGAACGCGGACATAGTAAAAAAATACTATGCATAAGAATGACCCGCTAGGTTGACATACTTAGGAAAAAATAAAGGCATCCCGGCGAACCAAAAGGGTTTGTGTAAAAATAAGGGATATATACAAAATATTGTACACCCGGCAAGTCGAAAAACTGAAAGGGCAGCTTGGGCAAAAAAGGGTATCCTGGTGGACTGAAAACTTGAAAAGGAGGTCCAAGCAAAAATTAGGGATTGAAAGCGTACGACTATGTCCTATTGGATCACTTACATGCAAGCTTTATTATCAATGTCAAGAGTTCAAGTGGTACAAGACCAGTTCAATCAACTTCTTCTGACGGCAAGGGATGAGATATTCAAAAGCATAGGGGCAATAGCGGAGTTGGAACCCAATGAGATCACTTCCACATGGCTATATATATATATATATATATATATATATATATATATATATATATATATATATATATATATATATATATATATATATATATATATATATATATATATATATATATATATATATATATATATATATATATATATATATATATATGTGTGTGTGTGTGTGTTTTTTACTTTGTACTCTTTCATTTCACGATGACTTCCTCTTACAAGGATTTTCGTCTATTTGTACAAACTCGACTATTTATAGGAAAATTATCAATACAATTATACTTTGAAGTCCAAACTTTTTGTTTTTTCTGTTTTGTTTGCAAAAACGTCCAATGACTGAAATTGAATGAGCATATCCATATGAACATGTTTAACTGTTAACAAATATACGCATAAGAACATGATTAAGCATTTACTCAAAATACTAAGAGCTAAGATGACACTCAAGTTGTCTGTAAATCCCCACAGAATCCCTTTCACAAGGTTACCACCAGTGAAGTCGCCAGAGCCACTTTTATGAGATTATCCCCCACAGAGTAATCTTCACAAATAAGGGCACATTCCCCCACAATCTCCCAGAAAGATCACTTTAACAAATAAAGGAGTATAATCTTCTCCCCGTTAAATATCCCCACGGAGTCTCAATCAGTACAATTTATGGAAATTCTCTTCCCCAGCTGAGTTTGTTCCTCCAAAACCAAAGAAAGAGACCATGCATAGTTTCTTCTCTTTAACAATTTCAATAACCAAGAGAGTTAGTTTACTCAGCAGAGCACTTCTCCATCAACAAGGGTTTATTTTTCCAACATGGTTTATTTTCCCAACAAGGTTTATCTCCCTAGCAACCTACAGATTCCCCAGCTGGAGTACTACAAATCACTGATGTACAAAGATGTTTTCTAAACAAAACTATATTACAATAGTGATGTATACATAATTGAAGAGCACAAGATAGAACTGGGTAATAATATTTTTTATTTGGTGCACAATTGTTGTCTATTAATTTTATATTCAAGTCTTCTTTATATAGGCGATGCATTGGAGACATGAGAAAATGCTTTTGGATAGTTGGTAAAGTGTAGTTAATGCACTTTCCAAAAATATGGATCTTGTCTTGGTCCAGCCGTTACTATTTGATTTGTGATAAATGATTTGTAACGCATCAGAACATTGCTTTCTTGGGATCATATCAAAAGATGAATATTACCGTTGAGACTTTGAATCCTCAGAGTTCCTATTAGAACTTGGATGATACGTTGAAGCTTCTTTTGCATATCAGAGTGTGGCTCAAGTGCTGAATATTTAGAACAGATGAGAAGATGAGTGCATTGAGATTTCTTTTGTTCTTCAAAATTATCAGAGTTTTGCTCGCAGTGCTGGTGCATTCAGAAGTTGTAACATTAGAACTTCTTCATTTTAGCGTGTTTACACATATTTGCTTCTAAGTATGTTGTGTCTGAGAGCTTTAAAACGTAACTTTCTCATCTTCTATGCTTCTTTCATTAGAGTTTACACACGCACGCACGCGCACACACACAAACACGTCAAATATATTTCACATTTACTCATAAGTCGAAGCAAACTTTAATTTATTGGGAAGTTCAGAAGTCTCTTTTACTAAAATCGATTAAATTTCTAATCACATATTATAAACTATAATTACAAAGTTTTAAAACATGGTGTTGAGATAGGAGTAATCTACACAAACGTTTAGGTTCCTCTTCAGTTTTATCGATAAAAATATAAAATAAAAAAATATATAATTATTTCTTATATATCACACTACTCACACAAGTATAATTTATTATTCCTTGACATTTTAACACCACCACCATTTTCAATCTCATTAAAATTACTAAACTTATTTTCTATAATAAAAAAATTAGGAAACTTTCAAAACATATTGCAAAAACTCTATGTGATTTAACAAAAATGTATTTCTCTTCTTTATGTTCATGAAAACCATGATGTGCTATAATTTATTGTAAATATCTAAACTACTATAGAACTTGTAAAATTAATTTAAGTCGCAAATAAAACCTGATAATTGAGCTTTTTTCGATGAATTGATAGAATAAATCTCTTCCATGCACATGGCTCTTCTTCAACTACATGTATTTATAAAGTACCATTATATTTAACTACATGGCTCTTCTTCAACTAAATGTATGATATGAAAATGTAGCATCATATAATGTACACCTATATATTTAATTTAATTAGTTTGTAAGTATCAAATATCAATCAATAATTCATCAAACATTATTATCCCTATTTTTAATTTAGTTATGCAAAAAAGGAAACATTGCATTAATGGGTGAAATAGATAATCCACATTAATGGAGCTTCTTCAATCATTTTCAGATAAGGATTTTAGTAGTTTTGGGAATGGAAATACCATGTGGATTATCTAATTTGTGGGGTTTCTTTGTCTCTTAATTTCCAATTAAGCAGACACTTAATTAATTTCTCTATTGAGGTCTATGATTAATGACAATGCTGATGGAAATTAAAGATTATGACTAAATTAACTATGATAACTAACGCTATACCTAATCAATTTCAATGATAGGATAGTAGAATATACAATCACTTCAAAGTCCAAAGTGGCATAAAAAAGTCAAAAAATTCAAATAAACACAATTTTTTTATTTATATAAAGGGGAGACATCACGCCAAAGCCTTGCCTTATGTTTTGAAATAGAACCATTTGAAACGCGCTTAGCTTTGTAGATCCATTTAATTATAATAGGTTAGTTCTTTGCTGGTAACTATGCTAGATTCCATGCATGAGAATAGTTTTTATGAAATTTCAAAAATGGTAACTGAGACTTTAAATGTCAGATTATTTTAATGAATGTGATAAAAGGATTAAATCAAGATGAAAAACAATTTTAATGAGGCATGAATGAATGAAGAATGCTATGCACTAATGAATAACAACAACTCGATGCAAGAAATTAATGAAATTTTTTATCTAAGATATTTTAATTTAAAAAACATTAATGTGAATGAATGTCATGATGCAGATGAATGAGACATATCACGTATACATAACAAACATATACTACATACACAAAATACATGAAACAAATAAATATCAACAAATAATTAAAGGTACACTAATAAAAGGTGAAGTAGAATGCAACAACCATCCCACATTGATGATCTAGGCTCTAATTTATTGTACACAAAACTTAAGCAAAAGCACAATACGATCAAAACAAAATACAATTTGATATGTCTTCATTTTCACGTTTGGAGATTAATTGTCAAACACTCCTTAACAATATTTCATATGAAGTTGAATGACACATATTCTGATTATCTTTGCTTTTATCTGAAAGTCTGACACTTGCAACACATGTTAATACTGATGACTCAACATCAGAACACAATGTCAAGACAAATATTGTGACATCTGTTTCTGATACAGAACTATAATATCAAACTGTAACTTAAAGATAAGTGTAAAAGTGTAGTTATTTTGTATATAATTTTTGTTGCACTTATCGAATTTTGGTTGTTAATATCAGTTGAATAAACTCGATTTTTCTGTAAATACGTTTAGTTTGTGTATAATGTGTTTTCTTGTATAAAGTGTATCGTTTGATAGTTTTGTATTTATTTTGTAGGTATTTGAGCATTGTTGGAGCAATAGGAATAAAGCTCCAAGATGCATTTTTGGACCAATAAAGGAATAATGTCAAGATTGGAGCCAGAATAAGTTATGCATAAAAAGCAACAAAAATTTATTTCCTGTCATGCATCGCCGGGCGAAAGGGAGCGTCATCGGGCGAAACCTTGAAGACCAATTTTGATGAATTCCCTGCCTTACTTCGCTGCTGCGTCGCCAGGCAAAAATAAGGAGAGTCGTTGGGCGATGAATTGTGATCGCCGGGCAATGGAAGATACTTGTTTCAGTTGAGAACGTGGCGCAGTCTAGGCCTTGTATATAGGAACCTTCATTGGGCGATACTTTTATGTCGCCGGGCGACGCGTGCGGATCAGAATTTTGTTATATCTTTCATTTTGTTTCATTTGTTTGTTGTTGGTTTTGGGAGAGATTTTTGTTCTCTCAACTCTATCCACCTTATTTTTATAGTGGATTAGCTTAGATAACAACACTAGGGTTTTGCTTATAGATGATTTCAGGTGGATTTCTCATTGACCGGCTGTGACAAACCAGAAGATTTGTGGTTTATCTCTTCTCCTCTCTATGTATTTATCTTTTGTTGGATTTTGTACATATATTTTACTCTGATCTTATGTATATTTGTCGTCTATGGCGTTATATTAAACTTGCTTTATAAATCCTTGTAGATTGTTGTCTTATATTTTTTCTCTGTGCTAGGGATTTGAGTTGTTATAGACATATACTGCTTAGATTCTTATCTCGGATGATTTTCTGTTAGTTTCTGAACTCTAGAGATAGATTTAGAGTTGACATCTACTTGGGTATCAGAGCTTAATGTATTTATGTGGTTAGGTTGTGCTGAAAGATCATCAATGTGATTACATAGTTTTCTTCTGTGTTGTTGAGGAGGTAGAGAGGTCATTTCCTTGGTGATACAGTCGGTCTCTCAATTTTGGTTAGAAATGACTTAGGTTGTGAGTGATACGTAGTGACATTGATGAGTATTGTTAGGTTGAATGTAACTGGTCCGTAGATTTAAGTCTGTGATGAGTAGATTATATACAGGTTTGATAAGTTCTTTCTTAGTTTTTACTTTTGTTTACATTTATTTTCTGTTGATAACATTTTCTTTACAAACCCATTTATCCCCAAACTCATTAACGAGAGATTTGTTGAATGGAAATTCAATAACCAATCTCTGTGGATACGATAAATTCCCGGATAAATATTTCCAAAACTTTTGTTACTTGCCGCTACACTGCTCCAACAAAATGGCGCTGTTGCCGGGGTTGGTTCTATTGTTTTCGGATTACGATGATTCTTTTGTTTTTGAGTTTTATAATTAATGTATATGTTGTATAGAAATTGTACATTAACTTGCATATGATACTTGTGCATATATGTTTTTTTCTGTGTTTTCACGTATTGTTGTAAATTGTCTCGTTTTTGTAACGTTTATTGTGTGATTTTTAAGACACCTTCTTTAGGTTTGCACGGTGTAACAATACCATGGCATGATGAGAGGAAGTTACTAGCTTTCATAATAAAAGCGTCGAGCTTACGACGTAAAACAAGCATGTTTGTTTATATTTTTTTATGTGTGTGGTGATTTGTGTTTTAACAAGTTGAAACAAGGAAATATTTTGAATTTCAAATCTTCCCTTTTCAACTTGTTATTTAATTTTCACCTAGTTTTCATACTGTTATTTGTATTTGTTTTGTTATGTCAATTTTTGTTTTCCAAAAGCTTGTCGTGTTTAGCTTGAGGAGTTTTGTTCGTTGTATATATTGTAAATTTTGTACATTGAAATTTTGTAGGAGTATTATTTTTCTAATTCTTTTGTTGTTGTTTGGACTCAAGTTTTGGTCTGGTAACTTGTAGAATATTGAGGTGATTTGTCAAGTTTGATTGTTTCGACTTGCGAATGTGTGGTAATGATTTTGTTAAAGTTTTATATATGTTCGAGGTATGTCTTTATCGCTTTCTATACTTTAGCATATTCATAATACTTAGAATTTTTACAATTTTTATGTCATTCATTATTTTGTATACTTGTTCATTTATGAATCACTTTAGTTCTCACCTTTTTTGCGAGGTAGCTTTCCATTGTTCACATATGCTGGAAGCCATAATTCTTGTTTTAACTAGATTTTATTATGCTTAATCTTTTGTTTTGTGTTGATTGTATGAATGCAAGAAAGTGATCAAGGCATTTTTGTTCCATTTTGAGCACAACTACCTAGCCAAATTTTTAATTCACCTTGTGAGTGTGTTATCATTAGTAACCCTTTTGAGCTTTTTGTCAATATCCATGTTGTATTTTCTAAATTCTTGTCTATGAGTGTTTAGTTTCCCTTTTTGTATGGATATTGGTTCCTTGTTTTCTTGAACCCTTAACTATGACTTATAG